TGACAGGGGCGGTGGAAATGTCAGTAGTATTCTGTAACCGAGTGTCACCACCTGGAGCGTCCAGGGATTGGTTACCCGCTGTCTCCAAGCCAGAATGCATCGACGCAATCTGCATGCGACAGGGATCTGTGGCCATGGGTTCGGCAGTTGCGAGAGGGGGGGTTCTCTTCTTCCATGAGGTGAGCCTCCCCGAAGATCAGCGTAGAAGTGACTGTGAGTGGTTGCTTTAGGATCGAGGGTGGGGGAATATACATCGTGTCACCTGAACTGATAATATTCTGCTTCACCCCAATGGCGTGGCTCACCGAGTCATTACGCAATGTGGACTCTGAGGGACCGCCCAAGGTACCCACTGTATCCGACGCGAACGAACTGCCACCTCTCAGCTTAAATATGTAGGCGAGAGCGTGTTCGAGAGTGCATCTGGGAACGCCTGTGGGTCGGCGAGAAGGGAGTCGAAACCCACAGCGGAGCTCGGACTTGAAGGCAAGTTATTAAGTCCGGTACCACGTGGCGAACCTTGGCTGGTTGAAAGCTCCGACTGCATCTGGTCTACCCGGCCTGCCAGGGACGTAATCTGCCCCAAAAGTCCTTCATCCAACGCCCTCATCTCAGAGGCAAAATCAGCCCTCATGCGAGGATGGATCCACAACGGGACCCTGGGCGGGCCCCATAGGAGGAAAGACCTCTTAGCCTCGCTGTTGCCGGTAAAGTCGGGTAACCCACTGCCTGAAAGAACAGACTGTGCAGATGCCCTCCGATCAGCGGGGGGAGACCGAAATACGTTGGTACCTTCACCATCAGGCCTTTTGCTTGGTATCCCGGTACGAGTACCGGTAGCCAAGTGCAAGAACTTCTCACTCATGCCAACGGACAACTCACCCATACCCATGCCGGTTACACCTGCTGCGCGAACTTTTTGCGAGCGAGTGACACGGTCAGTCTCGGCAATCTTTACAAACTGCTGGAAAGAATCCCAGGCTTCAGAACCCCAGTGATCACAAATACCCTCTGGGCAGACGCCCGAACCCCATAAGCAAGTAATACATCGGTAGCATTTAGCATGTGGGTGCCAGTCCTGTAAGTTCTGTGTTCAATGGTTGCAGACCAGCCTCAAAAACTAACGGGATAATACCGGTGGCGAGCTTCTGGCGTTGCCAGTGCATCTATCCATTTCTAAATACATTGTAAATAAAAGACGACATGCATGAGGGAAACGAAATACAGTTGTAAAAGGTGTCGCCATGAAACCAACAAGTGGTTACGTAGTGGCGCCTGGTTTTAATTTCTTTGTTGTGGAAAAGCATAACACACAATAGGGGAAAACAACACAAGGGTAAAAAGACAAGAAAAACTTATCCTACCAGCTAGAATGTCGGATTCCGCGGCTGCGGCAATGACCCACGCTAGAAACCCGGACAGTTTAAAGCAAAAGAGCCAGGCAGAGCCACTCAGAATCCTTGCCGATGAGACGGAGGTGAAAGAAGAGTGATTGTACGGCCGTCTATGGCACTGCCACGTGGCCTTGGTCACGTGGGTTCGTGACGTAAGGGAAAGAGAATCTTAGGGTCATGGGGCTTCCCCTGACCTAGATTCTATCTCTCCTGCAGAATCGCTGATTAATGCATACAGTTCAAAATAGTCATTTTGACTGACCGGACTCTATGGTGGGTAATTGAATGTAGTGAATTGATCGTTATAGCGCAATCTGGTCATGCTGCGTTTTGTTGATTATTACCTAGTAATGATTATAATAACATACAAAAAATATATTCGTTGAATTGTTATGAAATGCAAATAAATTTCAACTTATTTCATAGATTCCGATCGAATTTTCAACGCTCAATGCTGTAAAAATGAATATCCGCCATGTTTCGACCTGAAATGATGTTCTTTGACCTGACAGGTCAAATCGATAATTAACCAATGAAAACGATGGATGATTCCAACATGTTGAAATTACCATAGCTCATTTAAATATGTTAATGTTATTGAACGCAGCACGAAAGTGATTTGCCGATGTTGTAGTACGATCTTTTGGCTTGGATTTTGATGGGAAAGAGGCATGATTTGTTTTCAAATAAAAAAATTAGTTGTTTTCAAAAGATAAAATGAGCATTTGAAGAATAATTGTTTACAGCGATAACATTGTTTACAGCGATAACAGCTCATTGTCAAAACAAAACTAACTAATTTACGCTAGTTGCAATAAACATCAATAGGCAACTACGGCAAAGCTTTTAAGCATCAGAAAAGATTAAAATAAACACTTTAAAAAACTGACGAAAAATTGCCCTGGGCGGTTTTTTGGTCTCATTTTATTTTTTTAAAAACCCGAACTGCCATTTACTAAATTTATGGTACTCATAATAAAAACAACACTTAATATCTAATTGACAGGTCTTTTTGAGCATACTAACATGTGGGTCCTATTAATAGCAGTATAAATGACTTCATTTTGTTCACGTATTATTATGCATAATAATTTATTAACAACTTATTTTAGTCAAATTTTACGCCATATTTTGAACCTTGCAATTGCTAGTCACACCAAAATTGAACTTGGTTGACATTTCATTGATAAAATTTTTAAATTTAAGATGATTGGTTAAATTATTGCAGCCAAAAAAACAAACAATTTTAGATGAAACTTAACCAATATCCTGAAAAATATACATAGAACACATAGCAAAATTGATTAATATGAAAACTGTCTGAACTATCGCAACCAAAAAAAAAGATTTATTATGGAGTCAACAATACCAACAATGAGGGCTGACATTTTCCTCTTATACATGTATACCTTGAACTTCATCTACGACACCAAGGTGAAAAATGTATCAGGATGTACCATTTTTGTTGTCACAGTATTACTCAACAACTGAATTTATCAAAAACAAATTCACTAAAAAAATTTAAATCTGTGCATCTACCACAGAAATATTTATAATAAATATCTTGTTAAATTATGTGATAAAATATGTAGTGGAGTATTTGTGTACTACCAATACACTTAAATATAAACAAGCATTTTACTTTCCTGTTCTCAGTTTACAGGAAATCTTACATAATTGCACTAATTCAAAAACTATATATGCAAATTACCTTTTTGCATTGCATTTTTGCTGTAGCATTTGACTTGTGTTTAGGAATGGTAGTAGCTTTGGTTGTCTTGGTGACTATACTGCATGGCTGTAATTGTTGCAGAGATTCGCATTCATTGCTGGCATTCATGTGACTACCATGTTCTGGAGATTCAACACTACTTTCATCGAGAACAACACTAACAACTAAAGGTGAATTATCTTGCAAGTAAGGTTGGTTCATCAGAGAAATACCTGGTAAAGATGGATTTGAGCCAACAAGAGGGATCCCATCATGCTTTGTTGAAACATCGGAAAGATTGACAGGAAAAACTGAATCAGTGTTTTCAATGGGGGTGGTATCCATATTCATTTCTATTGGCATAGCCGTGTGGACACCATTCTCTGGTACAGGATTTATGGTGATTAACGACTGAGAAGCAATGAGAGGAGATACTTGTACGCTTGATGCACAGATTAACTTCTGACATGGTTGAGTGCTTTTGTTCATTTCCAAGACAGGATTTACCATCGGGACTGACTCTACATATACAGTATTATTTGGAATTGATAACTGTTCTACCACAGGTAGCGGAGCTGATCTTTTCCTTGACGCAGTGTGGGGAGATATTAATCTTTCACAGTTGTGATAAGATTTGTTTCCAAATGATTTTTTTTTTTTTAATTTCTCATCGTGCTGTGCCAGCAATTCATTGACAATCTGTAACAGACAAAAGCAGATGACAATTAATATAGTGCCAACAGTGTGTCCCTCTAACATCACTGAGTTTATACTGATGTTGAGTAAAAATGGAAACACATAAATCCAGTTGGGTCAGTGAGTCTGATGACTGCTGAGAAAAGGTCTTCAAGAACAAGCATTGAGAAACATAGTCCCCGTCCTGTATTAAATACGAAGTCCATCATTAGTAGCAAATCGCAATTATGGGGATTACTTGTGGCTACAGTAATGTATTGCTGCAGAAAATATTTGGTTCACTGGGTGAAAAATGTAATGGGCAATCAAATGCCAGCATTATACTGAATTCAAACAAATAATGTGAGCTTTATCACAGAAATGTATGTTTAAATGACAAGTTTAACCACTTTATGTAAAACTACTGAAAATTTAATCAAACTGCGAAACAAAGTTACAGTGCATATTTTAACTCCATATATATTATATGTTAAGCAATAAAACTCTAAATAGTAATGCATAAACTGTAATAGACATTTTTAGTGATTGTTTTCCCATTGCATAAATATAGTGCAAATAGATAAACAAAACTGAACTGCAATTTATACAGCCCCCCCCCCCCCTCCACCTCAAGGTTGTATAAAACACATCTTTAATGGGCCATTCCAGTTTAGAATTCCAACATGTTCATAACAGAATTTAATGCCATAGTGTCAGCCATACTATAGTGTACTTTTATACTTTAGAGAGCATAATCATCATATTATAGGTAAGTGACTCAAGGTAGACCACAAATGTTCTAATACAGATTCAGACGTACTGACAATGAAGCAAAGCATCAGACTTCAAAATTTGTTAAATGTTAATGATGGTCAAAGAGCCACTCATGCACGAGATACGATTTTGAATATTGCGCAGATCAACAAGCATGAAAAATGAGATGTTTAACAATAAATGCTGCGGTGACTGGAATGCATTAAAAAATATTGTAAGGAATAAAGTTGGCATTTAGTGCACATAATATTTAGAGTGCATTATACAAAATGAACATCAATTTGACAAATTAAATCACAAAATAACAAACCTTACAGTATTATCCTCGAGTCAAGTACTTGTACGCAAACTATTAACTGAATCGGACATGAATAAAAACAAAAGGCTGCCAGTCAGCCATTTTTGTTTGAATCACAAAAACAAATTGACGTGCACCTGAAACTCAATATGCATGATCATGACACAAAGTTTGAATGAAATAGACCAGTCCATCTCTGAGAAACAGTTTCAGACATGTTTACAGACTGCGATTTTAGACAGGATAGTACATATGTGCAGTTTAATCTAAATCAGACATGAACAAAAACAAAATGGCTGCCAGTTGACCATTCTAGTTTGTATCAAAACAAACAAATTGACATGCACCTGTAAATCGAATATGCATGATCATGATGCAAAGTTTGTCGGTCAATGAATGAAATCGACCTGTGCATCTGATAAACAGCCCGAGTAGTGGTTTTTAAGAAAAAATCAACAATAACATTTTAGAGAATTTAAGATATCGTCACAGAATAACCATGCTATCAAAGCAACTGAGCAGGTAGTTTACAGAAAAAAGTCGAAAATAACATTTTTTTTCACCAAACATAGCAACAATATTTGCCAAAACTAGAGAATTGAAGATGTCGTCACAAAATATACAAATCTGACAGAGATCCACTCGAGGCACATGTTCCTACACACCAAATAACTGAGCAATTGACCCTGTAGTTTCAAAGAAGATGGAAATGTAATTGTTGATAGATGACAGATGGACAACGAGGACCAATCACTGATATAAATGTTGGTGTGCGTGATGGCAGACATTTTTTGGTATTCTAATCACAAGGAGCTCTTTGAAAAAGAATGATATAATCACCTTAATTCTACAGTTGTGCCTAAACTCCCAGAATGCATCACTATATAACTAACCCTATTCTTACCCTTTTCCTTTCCTCCACATCATGCGGTGGCTTATCACTATGTTGAGATAGTAACTCAGCAACAATCTGAAAATTACAATGTGCATAGTAATTATTGTTATATACCATGAATTCACTAACTTACATGTAATTCATACTTACTGTAAAATACTTTATTCTAGGCGGAATTAATTTTCGCTGAAATGATTTTTTTAGTGTTTTGTATGGAATTTATTTTCACTGATTTTTGGCGAGTCAAATGTAAAATAAAGAAAAAAAAGGTATATTCGCTGAGTTTTATTATCACTGAATCATTCCTTCAGCAAAAATCACAAAAATTAATTCCAAGCAAAAAAAAAGTATTTTACAGTACACATTGTTTGCATGTGAAATCCTACATCACTACATGTACCAGAAAAACAAAACCATGTGTACTGGATTGAAACATACAGATTCTACAAGCTTTGGCAGACATCCTTGTAAAACTTACCAATTTACATATTACCATATTCTCTTTGTTTCAATGAAGATAAATAGCAGGTACAAATGAATAGACAAATTTGAACGAAAACTACACAAACAATGTTCAAGGCCAAACAGTCATAACTAACTTTGTTTAGTTATCTAGGAAGACATCAAAGCTAAGTAGCTCACCCGTTTTCTTTCTTTCACATTCATCATTTGTTCACTCTTGTGTATCTATTTTCTTTCAT